GCTATGGAGGAGGCTACAGCCACCCCAAAGTTTGCCATAACCCCCCCTCCCAGCGCTACCCCAGCCTAAACCCCCATCCCTCCACCATGCGCCAGGAAGAGCCTGGGGCAGCCCCAGCCCACAGCTGCAGCCCACTCTCGTCCCCCCATGCCCTCCTGGAGTGTATGCAGCAGCAGGAGTCCTGCCCTGTGCCCTCTGGATGACCCGCGGCTCTGTACTGCGCCCCGCCACAACACCTGCTCCAGCCCCTGCCCCACTTCCTCACTGCAGGGGATGTTGATTTGCGCCCCCTCCCCTTCTACCACAACAGACTTACCAGCTGCACCCAGCTCTCCAAGCTGCTGGGCTGTGCTCCTTGCCGCCTGTGTGCTGTGCTGCTGCTGCGCACAAGCACGGGCATTTATTGGCCAAACTATTGGCCCCATCAGGCTGATTTCTGATGCAACCAATTTTCTTTATATCGGTGCTGATCTGATATCCGACAGATCTATCAGTGCATGTCTAGTGCAAATAAGTTGATACTCCTGCCATAGTGTGTTTGCTGCTTATGTCCTGATTGTGCAAAGAATGTGCTTGGCTTTAAGCATGTGAGTGGTTCTATTCACTTGAGAGATTTTGTTGGTAGGTTATCTGGCTACACTAATATTTAATAAATGGATTGACACTTTTTATTCTTGTTCAGCTCTAGATTTTGCCAACTGTTAATGTTTCCTTGAACTGTTTTCCACTTCTAAAGGATAAGTTGTAGTTTGCTAACAGTTCTATTTGATTACCACAGCCAATTATTTTGCAACACCTTTTCTTAAATTAATCAAAATTGTTTTTCTGTAGCTAAAGGAGAGCTGTCGATCTTTATCTTTGACTGGCCATGTTGGTTTTGATAGTTCACCAGATCAACTGGTTAACAAATCCATCAACCAAGGCTTCTGCTTCAACATTCTTTGTATTGGTAAGTAATATACATTTATTTTTATTATTGATAGAAGTAATCATTAAGGTTTTAACCATACGCTATCTTCTGGTACTGAGTGAGTATTTTATTTTAATTTTATTAGCCTCTATTAGAAAGTGACTGCAATATTAATCCAAATAAAGTCCTAAGGCTTTTTCTACTTTAGGATTAATAATTAATGAATCATAATTCCCCCTTCTCTTTACACAATCATGCTTGAGTTGTTTTTGCATAATGTGTTGCGCTGTCAAAGGTAGCATGAGAAATTATGGTGAGAAGGTCTTAAGCATTGATTCAGAGGTGGCTTTGAAAGTTCTTTAAAATTTGAGCCCTTTGTCTGTGGCAGTTATTTTTAACCAAGGTATCACAGCACCCTGAGGTGCTTTGAGATCCTTTCAAGGGTACTGCAGGAAACCAGGTAATGTTAGTATTGTTAAAGGTGCAAACATAATTGACAAGGGCAGCCCAGAGATGTCAAACAGGAATCCGTAGAGTCAAAAACGTTCTGACCTGTTGTGGTCTTTCTGGGTTCTTTGCAACAGAAAAATAGCTGTATTATTTTTTGGTAGTCAAAGCAGGTGAAAACTAAGTGTTGGTGTTTTCTGAGGGGTGTCTTGAGCCTAAAAAAGGTTAAGAGTTTTACCTCTGTAGACTTCAAGATACTGTCACCTTTGACAACAGGAGATCTTGAAACAATCTTACACATATTTGTTTGCTGTTTTAATGCATTATCTTTGCAGAACAGCACTTTGAATTCTGTGTCTGCACAGCCAAACATGCAGCTTTTTAAGGTAATGATGTCCTGTAAACAGGGCTTGTATCTTCCTTAAGGCTAATATTGCACTGACCAGAATATTAGATAATCTATCCCATCCCTTAATTGTCTCTTATTTTCTCCCTGTTTTAGCTGGTATAGTGGTAGATTATACTTTCTCCCTCCCTGCATGGAATAGTTGACTTAAAAATGTGTGTAAAAATAATGAAATAGGATAGTTGTGGTTTAATAATGACTTAAGTTTTTTTTATGGTTAAGTACTAACCCATTTTTTTTATCCTGTACTTTGCTGACTTTGTGTAGTTATGTCCTAAACTGCCCTATCAGACCTACATAGAAATTTTACCTTGCCAAACAACCTTTTTCTTTGTCTGTAAGACTGAAATCCTTTTTTGGGAACTCAAGATGCTGATGTGAGACGGGAAAGGAACTTCTGTATAACTCTAGTTTTTTTTGTCCTTGGAAGTATTAATTAGCATGAGTCCTACAGATTCTTTAATGTCTTTGAATGGTCATTTAATTTTAGCTATACTTGTCCAGAAATTGAAGGGAATATTTTAGAGCAGGCCTGTCTAGCTTATTTGGGGAGGTGGGATGGATGACCCACCTGTGGCATTGAGGCAAGAGACAGCTGTGCTAACTCCCTGTGCTGATCGCAGTACCACTGCTTGTCCTATCTCTGAAAGTTAGAGATCTCAACCTGGAAATTTAGCAGTGGAATGACCAGCACCGATGGGGTTAACGCTGGTGCTGCTCATTCTGCCCCAAGCCATCCCCAGTGGGGATCTCTACCTGGAAATTCTGTGGCAGGCGAGTGGTATTAACTCCTGGGTTCTAGCCCTATCGACACAAAGCCTCTAGCAAGTGCAGAGGTTAACACCACTACTGCTTGCTCCGTCACAGAAGTTCTGGCTTTGCATGATCTGATTTAAACATTTGCAGGCTGTATGTGGCTCATAAGCTGCCATTTGGACAGCCCTGCTTTAGATGGCAGTAGATGGTACTGCCTAGAATGGTACCAAGAGGCACTGGTAGTTGTTCTTTGTACAAAATACATTTGTTGGTGCTTCTAAGAATCAAAAATAGGAATTCAGACATATATGTTCAGAGAACCGGACTTACTCATGACTTTTCTTTAACTTCCTTTAGGGGAGTAATAGCTAGAAAAATATTTATGCTTTGTACCAATATATGCAAATGAACACTTCCTTTTATTTCTCTCTCTCAATTTTAGGGGAGACAGGAATTGGAAAATCAACCTTGATAGATACTTTGTTTAATACTCATTTTGATGACCGTGTAGCCAACCATTTTCAACCGAATGTAAGACTTAAAGCTCAAACCTATGATCTCCATGAAAGCAATGTTCGGTTGAAATTAACCATTGTGAATACAGTGGGATTTGGTGATCAGATTAACAAAGAAGATAGGTGAGTTTGTCTTTTTTGATAAGAGTTTGATGATTAAAAAATGGTTTTGGTATAAACTGCAAGGTAACTTTCCAGCTTAGACTATGTATATATTTCAGGTATTAGTTTAATACATTTTTTTTCTACACAACTGGTGGCATATGTTTCCTTTTTGCTAAGGAAGTCATTTGAGAAATCAACTTTAACTCTGCCCCTTGGGTGCATCCGAACAAGTGTGCATATGCAGTTTGTGGCACTGCAGACCTGTCTGCAGCATCACAAACCATACGCGCTAGACATACAAGCATTTGCCATGCCGCTAATTTGCAGCATGACAGGTTTTTTTGACACTGGGAGAGCCCAGTGTCAAAAAAACCCATGGCAGAAAAAAGCAGGGTGGCGCATGTGGTTGCAATGTGCTGTCCAAAGCCAGAGCCTGGCTGGCTAGAGCCATATTCCAGCTGCCAGCTAGGCTCCGCATGCCTGGATCACCACCATTGGAGCCCAAAAACCCAAGGAAAGGTTGCTGGGAAAGGGCAGGTGGCTGGCCCCAGCCTCCCCTATTCCACTTGGGGCAACTTGCCACGCACCAGAGCGCACATGCATTCACGTTTCCTGGGGACAAGTAGCAGCAGCACAACTATATGCTGCTGCTGTTTGTCCTGGGGAAACACACATGTACACGTGTCTGAATGCGCTCCTTGTGTTCATGGTTTTTATAATATAGCCTTTCACAAACTATATCAATAAAATATAGTAAGTAATTTCTGTTTTGGGGGGGGAATTTTTTAAATACTTATACAGATACCAAATTATACTACCACATACGGGGCCTAATTTTATGCCAAACCTAATCAGTGTGGTCATTATTTCACTCTGCTTGAGTTTAAAGGCTAAGGTGGTGGCATGTTACAAAACATAGTGGGTATTTTAACATTTTTCAGGGACTTGAGCAGGGTGCAGTAGGAACCTGTTTAGGCACCTAATACTTGGAGTAGGATCTGGCCCCTAGTGTACAAACTTAATTTTTCTTACAATTTAATTTTCATTGTAGATCCAACAAAACCAACCTTATCTGGATTTTTAAATTGCTGAATACTTAGTTTGAGATCCTAGTTAGTATTAAAAAGATAGTGCTTTGGTTTTGATCTTTTCCATCAGTTTGGTTTGTTTATTTTAAGATTCATAACTACTGAACTGATTTTCATCAAATTTTGTCTTTCACCTTCAATCTAAATAATAATTTATTTAAGAACTAAGTAGCATTAGCCATGGTGGAGTGCAGCAACCCCCCTCCACGCCTCCAGCTGAGGGGCCCCAGAAGTTCCATCCTTCCCCAGAGATTGACAGAGATGGCTGTCTGTCAATATCTGGGGAGGGGTGGGACTTCTGGGGCCCCTTGGCCAATCAGAGGTTGACGCCAGTCCCAGAGGAGAGGTTGACACCAGTCTCCTGTCTCTCCCTCCTCCCCGTGCTTTAGGACACCAGGGCTTCCTGTTGTTTTCTATTTGCAGATCTCTCTTTTGCTGCCTTGCTGGCTTTTTTTTGCATGTTTTCATGTGTCTTTTTCACAGGGGACATGTCAATTTCACGGTTTCCACAGAAATCATGACATTTTGATTTCGGTAGATCGCTACTGATGTAACCTACCTTTTATCACCAGTGGCAATTAGAAAAACTTACCTTTACTGTGCTATGAGTAGTTTTTCATAAACTGTGATTTGGTAACTTTTATCCCTACATTTAATGTTTTGTTCTAATACATGAGTACTTTAGCCTTCCATGTGTCATTCATATTTACATATACATACAAAACAATTTCATGTGAATTCACAATAGCATGTAAAACCATATAATGTGAATTCCTTTTCAGTTCAACTGTGCCTAAGAAAAACTAATCTTTGGTTCCTATGATTTCATTTTTTTTTTCAGCTACCAGCCAATAGTGGATTACATAGATGCACAATTTGAGGCCTACCTCCAGGAAGAACTGAAAATTAAACGCTCCTTGTACAGCTATCATGATACTCGTATCCATGTCTGCCTCTATTTTATTTCACCAACAGGCCATTCCCTTAAGACTCTTGATTTGTTAACTATGAAGAATCTTGACAGCAAGGTAACATTATTTTAAAATAGTTTTTTATAGCCTCTTGCTTGGTGCTTGCTTTGTCTGGTGTTTCTGTAATACAGAGGGCTTTTAAAGCAAAGTCCAGTAAAGAGAGGATCTTGGGTTCCTATCTTTGCTTCCCAGATTTTTTATATATTTTGTATTAGACTGTCATTGATTAAAAAATAAATAAATAAAATCTTGGCAGCATGGATTAGAACCCAGGACTTTCCCACTCCCAGGGGTGTGCCTTTGCTACTGTGCCATGGGATTATACATGGGTTTGCTTCTAGGGTACAAACCCTTCCCTTTTTGCTACTTGGTAGCCTTTAGTCTGCTGGCCTTTATAAGAGAAGTGAGTCCCTGAGGAACTCCTCAGTCAATGCTCCAAAGTAAAGTTCAGTCTTAAAATAAACAAATAAGCAAAATAACATCCCTTTGTCCTGTTCTGGACCCTGGAGGGGAACCCCCTTTGCTCTGGTCCCAGCACAGCAGCCTGGCTCCTCACAACAGTTTTCTTTAGAGTTTGCTTCCTCCTCCTCTTACTTTGTCTTCTGGGAGCATTTAAAATTCCCAGTAGGACATTCCCGCTTTGTGCAAATGACTCACAACTGAGCTGTCTTAACAGACCTGACTGTTCTTCTTTAAAGAGATGCCCAGGTTCAATAGGAGGGAGTGGTGTCATAGAATCATAGAAATTTAGGGTTGGAAGGGACCTCAGGAGGTCATCTAGTTCAACCCCATTCTCAAGGCAGGACCATCCCCAACTAGATCATCCCACCAAAAGCTTTATTTAGCCAGGTCTTAAAAACCTCCAAGGATGGAGATTCTACAACCTCTCTGGATAACCTGTTCCAGTGTTTTAATACCCTCCTAGTAAGAAAATTCTTCCTAATATCTAACCTAAACTACTGTTGCTCCTTGTTCTGTTGCCTGCCACCACTGAGAACAGTCTAGCTCCATCCTCTTTTGAACCCCACTTCAGGGAGTTGAAGGTTGCTATTAAATTGTCTCAGTCTCTTCTTCTTTAGACTAAATAAGCCCATCCAAGTGTCTGTTCAAGTTATTTTAGAGTTGGGTGTTCAGGATACTCTTGTGAGAAGTGGGGAGATACAGGTCTTAAGATACTCTTGTGAGAAGAAGGAAATATGGATCTGAGTCCCTTCAGGACGAGGAGAGTTTAGTACCATGTTTCTTGCTTCTTGGGCAAGTGTTCTAACTACTTGACCAGCGTTGTTCCACCTGTCTGGCCCTGTGGGCCAGAAGAGGGGTGCAGAGTCGGTGTGCAGGGTCATTTCACAGGTATTATCTGGCTGTGTGGTGGCCTGACGCTGTATAGTGGATACAGCTGTAGGGTGACTCTGTGTGCTGGCCTGACCATGCATTGCCATGATCTAGCGTGCAGGGCAACATTGTCCCACCCACAGGGCTCCCCAGGGATCCAGAAATTTGCCAGGAGGAGAGAAGAAATCAATGCTGCTCCTCTATCCACCAAATTTCTGGACCCATGGGGCAACTCATGGGCCAGATGAGATGGCTCTGTGGGCCAGATCTGGCCCGTGGGACTGGAGGTTTCACCAACTACTGAATTGTATTTGTATTTGTACTTGTATTTGTGAATGAGTGTCAGTCAGTGCTGTGCTTTATACTGAAATAAGTGTTGTCAGTGTCAGGTATGCTCTGCAGATGGTAAAATTTAGGTACCTCCAAGTTCTGATCTGGATCTCAGCTGAGCCTGGTTGGGAATTACAGGTTAATAACCAATAACATCTAGGTTATTAACTGTCTCCAAGCATGTGCAGAAGCCTATGCCTATGTGCCCAGGGAACTTTTCAGGCTAAAATGGATGTGCCTGCTGATTCTAGATGCTAAAGTGTTTAAATGGATTAAGCTCAATCATTTTGAGGGATAAAGGTACTTAAATTCTACCCAAGTTTGGCTCCCTAAAAGAAGACTGGTTCCAACTAGAAGTATATGACTCTGTATATTTTTCTTGCTATGGACTGAGTATTTCAGTAATATGTATTGCATCACATTCAGTTAGATCTAAGGTGACCTCTTCTATGTGTGCATGACATTTATGTCGAAACAGAATGTTACCTGGAGTTCATTCTGTACTTCCGTGGCAGCAGGGAACATGGAAGGCAGCCGGCTCCATCATGTGGGGCTTCCCGCAGTGGCACTGTGGGGAGCCCCATGCGATAGGTGGGCTGGCCTGACTGTGCTCCTTGCTGCCATGTGCAGCTCTGGCCAGAGCCATGTGCTGCTGAGTGGCAACACCTTCATGGGCCACAAGTGCCCCAAGGGCTCCTGCCTGCCGCTGCTGCTGCCGTGAGTCATGGGGGGAATGTGTGGAGGGGGCCACACCTCACAAACCTCACACAACCCCCCCCCCCACACACACACACGCCCTATATTCTCCCACACACGCAGCCACACCCCTTCATAACTCACCCCACACACCCACTACAACCCCATCAG